TATGTACTATGTTTTTTGAAGGATTGATATTAGTCATCCCTACATTTATTTCATTTTTTTGAAAATGTTTTTATGTACTTGTTTTATAATTTTGGTATGGTAAAGTTATTTTTATTGTATACCAATGATTATGAATGCAGTGAAACTATGGGTGGTGTTTTTTTTAATTAAAAAAATAAAATTTATAGTTTTATGAAATAAAAACTTTATAGGAAGCTTTACAAGAATGTAGGAAGATATAAAAATAAGTAATTAAAATCTACAACAAAAGTTAGCAGTTTTTATTATTGTTGTTGTTTTAAACAACAATGAAATATTTTCATTTTTCAAAATCGTAAGTTCAAACAAATGTCACAAAAAAAAAATTTAATTGCGTATGATACATAATCTGTAGGAAGTTCATCTCAAGTTTCCAGTTATTTTATCTGTAAGTTTTACTTTTGTAATACAGTAAAATAAACCATATAGTAGGTGTATTGAAGTGAAGTACCCGAGAGTTCCTTAGGTTATAGTATAGAAAAGTTTGAGTATGATAAAAGGAAACATTATCATTGTTTGTCTTTGGTTTTTTTAACAACAATGTTTCACAACAAAATTTCAGACATTTGAGAACTTAAAAAAATTATACAAGTGCTAAATCAAATTTATAATTTTTTTTTTCACACAGAAACTATATACTATTTAAAGATTGTATGCCAAGTTTCATGCAAATTGGTTAAGTATTTTCACTGTGAGAATTAACAGTCAAGGGATGTTAGTAATGCTCTTCTGTTCTGGAAAGGTTAAAGAATAGAACTATCATAAGAGATACTCGGATATAGACATTCATGACTTGTATTGTCTTCATTATCTTGACTGACTCATCAAAATGTTTTAAAATATTGTTTTACAATAATACAAGTCTTGTTAACAACAGTATAAGAGATCTCTTCCTCAATCAGAGGCAAAGTAGGTGATTGCTTCTTTGAGGTGCTACTAATACTGTCGGAAAGTTTGGAATCTTCTATATCTGAACATACAATCCATATGATGGTGACATTTTTTTTTTTTAATTATTATTTTCAAATTGTGACCTTTCCTTGTTGTTTTTTGAGGTTGGAGATTTTGTTTATAATACTTGTATCTAGTAGGAGACTATTACTACTCTCACTACTGTCCATGTCATCACCAAACATATTATTCAGAGTTACCACAATATCTTTGGGCTTGATGGATGGATTTGCCTCAACGAAGGCTGTCAAAAAAGTCCACTGTGGTTGCATCTCCAGCAGGACACAGGTTGCAAGTTGAACATCTCGTTGCCTTTACATGTACAAATAATTATTGGAATAATGGTAAAAGTTTTACCAAAATTGGAAAAATCTTGGATTTTTTACATCCAGTCTCTGACATTGAGGCACTTCTGGTTGATAGAAAGATTCTTTGAAATACCATCAGAAATGACATAAACAGAATTTTTTATATGAAACTCATTAATGCCATTTTATTATGATGTTTAACAGTCTGACACTTCATTGTGTTATGTAAAAAATATTCTATTCAACCACAGGGCAAAACAAGTCAGCCTGCTGTGATAGTTTACTAGAGATGTAGTCAAAACCAAGTCTATAAAGACCAAGATCGAGATCAGTATATTTTGTATGTGAAAAACATTATAATCTAAATATTTTTGAATAAAAAAAGAGATATAACAACAATAATAAATTTACTTTTTGCATTTTTGGTTGCATAAAAAATATATTGGTCTTGGTCTCGCTCATCTGTCTTTTGCTTTAGTGTTGCCAAATTATTAAAATGTTTAGACTTTTTTGTGAATAAAACTAAAAGAGGTTATAATAACATTGTGAAAAAAGTGACATTTTATAGGATATTAGAAATTATATATAAAGATAGTGTAATAATGTTATTTATTTTGACTCTTAAGTTATTTTTTATTTCTTTGCAGCATACAATTGATGAAGTTGAACAGCTGATTAAGAAACATGAAGCATTTGAAAAATCTGCAACTGCCCAAGAAGAAAGATTTTCAGCATTAGAAAGACTAACAACAGTAAGATACAGTTTTGAAATTAATTATATACTCATGTTATTCATTGTATTTTGACAAATGGTTCTGTGTTCTATAATTTATCTATAACTAGTATTTTTTAACAGATGTACTATGTCATCTGCAAAGTAATGTTACATACATAAATTGTTAAAGAAATGACAGAAATATGTTTATGACATTACAATCTGGGAGGTATTTTTATTCTTTTATTTTTCTCCTTTAAATTATATATTTTTCTTTCCTTTCTGATTTATTAATGCACAAGATCAAGTTAAAGGAATAAAAAGAGACTTAGTTTTGGCTTTAATGAATTTAATACTCACATGCTTCTCTCTAGAATATACAAATTAAAAACTTTCAGAAAATTTTACTTGAATATTTACTAAACTACATTACACATAATACTAAACTCAGCCATTAAAATTTACTGTGTTTGGTACTAGGACTTTTGTAAAATAACTTGGATATATGTAAGAAGTTTAATTCTCTTAGGAGCTGTCTTTAATTTTCACTTTCATAAATGCAATTAAACATATATTAATATGAAACAACAGGCTGTGTTCTACAGTATTTGATATGTTCCCTTTAATGTTATATAAAAGGAATCCTTGTATTTAAGGCATGTTTAAACTACATGAATAAAATAAAGTATTGGCTTTGTTCCATTTTTAATCATTCATTTTCAAGAATAGTAAAATCTTAACAAAAAAGTTTGAATGGATGATTGTTAGAACTCATGATTTTAAAGTTTACTTGTGCTTGTGTTCATGCGTGTTGGGTGGACGTACAAGTTTCTATTTAAATATAATTTCTTGTCTTGACTTAAGGATACACAAGTTAAAAACATGATTTTTTTTATTGTTATGTTAGTATGATTCCAAATTTCAATTAAAAATGTGTGTTATTGTTTCCTCTGAATAGTTTGAATTAAAAGAGTACAAAAAACGAGAAGAGGAAGAAGCTGAAAGGAGAAGACAAGAAGAATTAGCCAGACAAGCACCACCAGAACCTGTAGTTGAAGAAATTATTACTGGGGATAGGTTAGCATGATAATAGTACTTATAATAATACTTGCTTTTTCAAGAAGTTGAGCAAGTTACCTATGTAATGTACTATGTTTACATGATACATGCATTTCAGAAGATTTTGTGTTATTCTGATGTGCAGCTTAATAACAAGTGGTTTAACGTAAATATTTATTGATTCAAAATGTCTTATAAATGTTAGAAAATGACAATATAAGTTTCTTTGTTGATATTAAATAGAGTTGATGGCCAACCTTCACCTGTCGAAGATAAAGAGCAGGCAGTAGTGAATGGTGAACAAGAACTAGTAGAAGAGGGAAAACCAGAAGGTAAACATGCATAGTTTATAAACAATATTTGGTGTTGTGTGATAGCTTTGTTACTTTTAAGCATCTTCATTATTGGTTCTAACAATAGATAGTGTTTTATGTTGAGATTTAGTTGTTTTAGCAGCTATTAAGTGATTATGCTTTGTGATGTACAAACCTCAATGATCCAAATATGTTTGTCAGCACTTGGGTTATCAGGTTTTGTTTAATTGTCATTTGTCTATTTTATGACCATGTGTGTTTTTGAAGTGTCATTAATGAAGGATTTCTAACAGCTGATTTTTAGGCAGTAAAAGTATCAAATGTTAGAAACAAAATCTGATAGTTTCTTAAATCTTAGTTTGTAGGCAGATTCAGATTCCAGACAGTGCTTGGAAAATTTGAAATTATAATGTAGATTAACAAAGTGTGATTTAACCAAAAAAAAAGAGATAAAATTAAACTCTGATTTTAGACCATGCATATTTGGGTTTTAAGCTATTTCTTAGAGAAGTATTTGTTTTACAATAACTAATGGTCTTTACAACTTTTTTAAAATATTATCTGCTTAACTAATGTGCTAACTTATTATTTAGTGGTTGACCAAGCAGTAAGCAAGAATCTGTAAAAGTTTGTGTTGTTATATTTGATAATTTTGTTCTGAAATAATTAAAAAATTATTAATAAAATGATATCTTCATTTTAGTTGTAAATTGTTCTTATTCTTTTCTTTTTTGCAAGTAGATTTGAGTAAAAAGTGTTTGTGTTGTATAAATAAGTGGCAAATGTATAGAACTTTGGCTTGCATTTACTTGGGTTATATTGAACTGTATAGGTGACTGCATGTAGTAACTTGGTGCATTAATGATAAATTTTTAATATTATGTTGTTATTTGAATATTGTAAATTGCAAGATTATGGTTTAAGTTGTGGTGGTGGGCTTATGTTAGTGGTGGTTCTATTTCATTCTAAAGTTGCTTAATGTGGTGGTTTATGTCTCTTTTTGGTGTGTAAAAGATGTAGTCTTTTATTTGTGGTGTTGGTAATTCTATAACCTTCATGGGTTTTGCTCTGGAACTAGTCCTCACTTCTAATTTCATCTTTGCAACAAGGTAAGGTCTTATGGGCTAATGTCCTTACTGTTGCATGCCCTTCTGAAGTTCTGCATGTAACTCATCACGTCTGCATGCTAAGTGTTAGTTGTTTTTCATATTGAACTTAAACTAACTCTCCCCATAATTGTCACCAGCCATATCAGAACCTGTTTTACCTTCAACTGAGTCCCGATCTGCTCCGTCAAGTAAGTAGATTTTTTAATCTTAAGTTTGAATTTTCTTCTTGTTTTTACTGCTTAGTAAAACTGGACAAAAACTGAAACATAACAATGGTAAAATTATCAGAATACACTTTAAACTTCTTTCTCATACTGAATATTATGTGCTTGAAGTAATTCTTGTACTATCTCAAATATGTATGCACAATGAATTAGAAAGAGTTTATCCATGAAAATTTTAACTTGGTTATTTATGTAAAAAAAGGACTCTCTTAACTCTTATCACAGTTAGTGTGCATTCCATCGCAAAGGCAACACTACCATTGAATTAAAACAATCATAGAAAATAAACTTGTAGTCCTTCTTCCACATATTAACCTTGTGGTTACGGCAGGCCTAGACAAATCCTGGTCACCATTGCAACTAAAATTTTCATCGTGGCAGCTGTGCTAAAATGCTGCTAATTTTGTGCCATTTTGTTTTTCTTTCTTTCCATTCAACCAATCAGTGTGTGTGTGTGTGTGTGTGTTTAGACTCTGATGGGACCAAAAGCAGTCAGTTCAGGCAATACTCTCAAGTGGTTGTCGATATCATGTGATCATTAGCATAAACTTGTTGATGTGAAAGTAACTAAATATACACTGGTACCTCAATTATCTGCACTGGTCCGTGAAAAGCAAAAAATTGCAGATAATGGAAAGAGTGGGTAATCAAGGCACTAGTGTATCTCACTGGTTAGGTCGTTGTTTAATTTAAATAAAATTTTTCAATATATTTATGTCATTCGTTTTAGATTTTAGTCTTCTTACTGTTTAATCACATCATCATGAAAAATTATAAAACTCATCATAATCATAAAAGCCAAGTATCAGTCGGTCAACCAGTTGGTTACGCTTGATTTCTCGGAATTTTCGAAGTCACACGAATTCAATTCCACTTTTTCTCCTATAATACTTCTTCTTTTGATTGCCCGTTCCCTGTTTTAGTTGAATTTAATTGCTAATGTATGTGTAAATAGCTCCTAAATTTTGGCACTTTTTCTGCTATAGACACGGAAATGCATTCTCACCCTATCAACATCTGTGAAAAATAAGTAAAAAATTAGCACAAATGTATGCTTGGGAATTATTATGAAAAAGCATTTGTTAAAACATACAGAAGATACCAATTATTTCTAAGAAAGAGGACAATACGTAACTGGGCGACACCCCAACACAACCTGAACATGCATGTGTGGTTAAAGGATGCCCGCTGTGCAGCATAGAACAGCAGATGATAACTGAAAATGAGTGAAATCTTTATGGAAATTTTAATGTGTATTTTTTGTGTTTTTGTATACTATGTTTTTAATCACTAATCAGATAGAATTAACCAAGCTACAAATAGTTTGTGTTCCTGTCTTAACAGCTAAAAGTAAAAGAGGCGAGGCTCGGTTTGAACTGGCCGACTTACGATTTGAAAGCACGCCAGATCCTGCACATGAAAACCCCAAATTTCATGGAACACCTGAACTTTTGCAACCAAAATTAATTTCTAAGCAACAGTTTCTCCAAAACATGTAAATTATTATTGTCTAGAATTGTTATGGCACTATTATTTTGAGAAACTTTGAGGAAAAGAAAAAACTGCAGATAATTGAGGCATTAGAGTGTAGCTCCCATTTCCCAGTACAAATGGTGATAAAGTTATGTTGGGCACACCTGGCTCCTGAGTTTTGGGGCTGGTTCCTAGATCTGAAAATATTTGTTGAGGCCTGGGTTACAGGCACCCTTGTATTTTGCATGTCATGAGATTTTACTCTGTTACATTAAACATTCAATTAAGCAATCTTACAATCAATGTATACCAATAAAATTAGCATTAAAATTTACATTATAGTTCATAATTTTATATTATATAAGTTGTAATGCCTTTATTTCAAGCGAAACCTTATTTTATGAAAAATTCTTAAACTTCAGTTTGACACAAAAGCAAAATCTTAACTTCTGGACTTTGTAACTTGTTGACATACGCTAACCTTCGATGTATAGGTAGAATCTAGGTTAATTGCTCTGCTTACACATTTTCTTTCAAGCTCCTTAGGGCACATTTGAAAAAAAAAAGAAAATAAATTTCTTGGAACTCTTGACATATGCCACCCCACTTTCTACACATAGAATTGTGATTTTTCAGCCAATTATACTTAGTTGAGTTAGATGTTTATAACCAATAGAAATACCACATTTTAAAATACAATCTCCCAATAGTTATTTTAAAACTGGCATGAAGAATTTCATAGAGAACTTGTCAAACTGCTCTTAGCAATGTTGCTGTTTTTGTCCTTTAGCATTGTTTCTCACCTAGAAATATGTTACTTAGACAGACAATTAAATTGTAGTTAGGTTTTAGTTAATTATGAGTTATGTATGTTTGAAAATGCATATTAGAGAGATTTAATAATTTTCTAAATACAAGTCAAACTGCCTGAGTTCACCAGGCTTTGTGTAGTAGGCAAATGTCCCAACATTCTGTTGAAGGCTAAAGTGTCTCTGTTGATGATATCCTAATATTGCTTGAGAATGCCTGTTGACATGTGTCATGATAAGTAACAATGTTAAAGGCCAGGGAAGGTAAATAAAACATAAAAAATAAGCTATATATGAAAAAGTAAAAACCTACAATTAAGAATATAACCAAAAGATTTTTTAAGATTATTCAGTGAAAAATTAAGATGTACATTTTTTCTATTTTTAATTTTAAAAATTTCATTGCACAATACATTGATGATAATACTCAAAATATTCAAAGTCAGTACATATAACTACAATACAACAATGACAAATCTTTAGTTAAAATACTTAATTAAAATAATCTCATTCTTTGTGTACAAAATACTTGTAATCTTTAACAAAATATGTTAAGAAAAAGCTTGGAGCTATTGTAAGTATTGTTGAACTGTCTTTCGTTCTCCTTACAAGAAGTAGCCAAATGAGTTCAACCCAGTAACCATAAGGTTAAAAGAAATAAAAATACATTATAGTTGAAATTTGTACAATAAAAAGGCTTTATGGAATTTTGTAAAAATAAAAATGAATAAACTTCCAATTTTGATTTTAAGTTGACTTCTGCTCAAGCTAAATAAATTCCTTAGAATTTGTGAATTTTCTGCATTTTTTTAGAATAATACAGTATTTGTAGCTCCCAAGAAGGAAAGTCATAATAGTTATGAATAAAATAATGCTAATTTGACCTTTTACTAGGTCGTCAAAAAATTAATGTCTATTTTTTTAGATGAAAAAAACCCGAACAACTTGTATATTAAAACAAAACATTTATTGAATGAAATAGTCTCCATTCTTATCGATGATGCTTTTCCATCTTGCGGTCAGATTGTTAATGCCCTGATTAAAGAAGCAAAAAAACATGTCAATGTCCTCATTAACACCTTCTACATTTGCATACGTTGTCCCATTAAGATGGTGTTGCAGCGAACGAAAAAGATGGTAATCTGATGGTCCCATATCTGGAGAATATGATGGGTGGAGGAAAACTTCCCACCCCAACTCCATAATCTTGTGTTGCGTCAAACATGCCATATGTGGATGTGCATTGTCGTGGAGAAGAACACAACATTTCCCCGATTGATGAGTGAAGGGCTTGATTTAAACGTTCCAGTTGCTGACTATAGATCACTGTATCGACAGTTCGCTGTGGATTGAGGAGTTAAAAATGAATCACTCCTTTGATGTCCCACCAAATGCAAAGCATTACTTTCTGTGGATGGAGTCTAGGTTTTGGGGTCTAGGACTGAACCATTGTTTTTGGCATTTAATATTCGCATAGAGAATCCATTTTTCATCACCAGTGACAATTCTGTCCAAAAATGATTCACACTCATTAAGCACCAGAAGAGACGAAGCAACGTTCACACATTGGAAACGATGATCATCAGAGTTTATGAGGCACTCAAACACCTTCTTTGTGGAGTTTTCCCATATTCCTTAGATGTTTACATATTTTTTCATGAGAGACATGCAATTTCAGGGCCATTTCATGAGTGTGTTGCCTTGGGTTAGACCCAACAAGCATCTTCAGAGCATCAATATCAATTCCAACTGAAATAAATTTCCCGAATCATCGTTGACACTTACAAACATTCAA